AGCWGCWGCTGCTGCAGAGGAAGAAATCGCTTGTYGTACAAAATATGTCATTAGGATGTCGTCACAGCTGCCCCTTCCCGTCTACTGAAACCCACGTGATACTACCGTGGTAGTAGTTGTACTTCTGACCTAGGCGGCAGCCGCAGTCACGTCGTACCACAGTCGTACTGTCGTAGTCGTCGGCTCGTCGCTCTTGCTATAGGCAGGCGACCACCGCCACCGCATCGTGACATTTTGTCGCACCGATTGACGATTGTGCACTTACGTCGTTACCACCATAGAATATTCTATGTTACCACTGGACAGAAAGTTGTAGAGACGACGTCACGACGATGATAATTATAGATATTCATGACTAACTATATATATAATATCTACGGTTCCGCCCTCCCAATAAAAAAAATCAGATTTAAATTTTACCTGCGGGCTGCGATAACGATAAAAACAAATTATACCGAAATAGTGAAATCACTTGTTATTCAGTGAATCGGACTACAAGTCTACAACTACTCTCCGTCACCATAGTCCCCTATCAATTAGGCATTTTGGCATATCGCATATATATTTTGRACTATGTAGACATGTAGTAGGACGTCGTGCACAATGCTGGTAGTAGTAATCTATTCTGTGGTAGTAGCCAGTAGGAAACTATATAGAATAAACGCCAAACGGTATTAACAGATTAGCTATTCAGTGACTCAGACGCTCAGTAGTGCAGTACTGCAGTAGTCACTAGTCAGTAGTTCAGTACTGTAGACGACGGCGACCGTGTAACTTGTTGCGGTCAGTTGTATGTTACGTTGTGTGTACTGCGTTCTGAATTTCTGATTCCCGAGGTAAGAACTAAAAAATGTCAAGTACTCAAGTGTCAAACCGATCGGTAGTTTTATTATTACTTTGATTATTTGTGTAATGAACTGCGTATAGTGTCGTCGTATACGTATAAATTCAATTGTTATTTTTTTCGAAGCGGTTGTCTGTTGTAAAATATATGTAAACTCGTAAAAAAACTCATAATATATCATAAATCATATCTTAGTAAGCGCTGACTTCCGTATTTGTACCAATCTAGATTATTACGTAAACATTTTATGCAATTATACAAACTGCAATTTCAAATAGTTGACTACTATAAGACTACGCCCACTCGCAACAGGTACATTGTACATTAATTAAATTTTCATTGTAGGTGATGTACTGATGTCATATTTTTTGTTCGATTTTCTGTGCGGAATTTTACTGTCCGTTTTGTGGAAATTTCATAAATTGTTTTACAAGTCCCACCAGTTCTCGTATTGAATGTCCGAGTTTTATTTATAAAATACTGGAAAGAAGCCAAGAATAAAATAAAATTAATCTGTTAAAAAACCAATTCTTTCTATATATTATTATGATMTATTGTATTTGTAGGTGATTTTTTTGTATGACAAAATATATAAACAGTCTGCATTTGCAAAGATTAAATTATTCCTGTACTAACTGTAACAATCAAACCATGTGTGTGAACAACTATTTGTATGCCTATTATGTTATATTATATCTGTACAATAAAGAAAAGTCACCATCCTCAATAATTTAAAAAAAAAAAATTATTTATTATGTTTAACATAATATTATTTGAATTTTGGATTATAATAAATTTTTGAATGAATTGAATTTTTCAAAACTTTAATTATAATTTATGTCGTAAACTCTCAAGTTAAGAAAGTTTTATGTTTTATTATATACCAAAAATTAAGAGTAGAAATTAAAGTAAAAATTAAGTTGATATTTATTATTTGGCAAATATTGATACCATATTTTGTATTAATATGTATTTATTTAAAAACATTTTCCATAATGCTTTTTTTTTAAAAATGTTATATATTATAATATTAAACTTACAAATAATTTTGAGTGCAAATGGAAAGTTATTATTCAAGAAATATTTATATCATTACCATTCTGCTAATAAACTATATAATACATAYTGAATTGTTACAAAGGTGCTATTGCCGATTTGCAATGTCTAGTTATTAACAAATACAGATTAAGATTAGGTACTTTAATAATTGTGAAGAAATATTTTTTCATTTTGGTTAAGAAACCAATTTATCTTAAACTACATGCAAACTAGAGAATAATTTTCAGAATAATAATTTATACACTTAATGTTAAAGTAATATTTATGTTATAAATAGTGCATTTTATTCGAATTGGTCATTAAAAAATAACTATGTCAATTTCATACTTATTATTATTATTTTTTACTCAATCATTTGTTGGGTGTAGTGGCTAGGCGGATTAAGGCTTCGGCTGCGCGTTGCCCATTCAAACCCGGTCACAGGTAGCATTACTTTCCGGGCAGTTCACGCTGTCCCGGKTATGGCAGAAACCTACGGGTGCCCACTAGAAATCCTGCCAGATAGGCGTCAGAACTAGACCTTTGTGCCTACTCTCGGACATAGCGCCATAAGAAAAAAAAACTCAATAATTTTACATATATGGCTAAAGACTTAATGATATGGTCTTTGACATGATATTTTGTAAATGATAAATTAGTTTGGATGCTCAATCAAGTTTTTAAATCATGAGTCATGAAGTTATGTTGTTGGTATACACTATACAATTACCATGACAACAGATACAACATTAACTTTGAAATTTTTCTAGTTATTAAGTTGAGTTTTAGTTTACATGTATTCAGTACACATTTAATTAGTTTAGTGTGTCTGATAACTACTTGTATTAACAAAAAAATTGTATTTTCCAGAATATTTTTATTTGAAAATTGCAAAAAGTTACAATGTATACCAATCCAAATGTAGCACCAGCACCACCAGGTATGAAATTTTAAAAAGAAAATATTTATAAAAGTTTAGTAAAGAAAAAAAACAATTTAATTATACTAGGCGSCTAATAAAGTAATAAATAACATTTCCGCTAATTTTAAATATTTAAAATGTTATAAATGATATTAATTTTGCTTAATATTTATTAAAGATWACTTTATTAAGTAAAGGAAAAAATAATTTTAACTTTTAAGCACATCTTATTTCTTAGGATTTTCTCAATATCATTCACCTCAAAACCAATATCCACCAGCTGCTAATCAAAATCAATATCCACCAATCGGTCATCAAAATCAATATCCACCAGTCGGTAATCAAAGTCAACCATATCAACATGACCAATATAATATGTATCAACATCAACAACCAATGCCAGCACAACAAAATCTGGGATATCCAAACTACCCACCTCCATATTCACAGCCGGGTTATGGACAAGTTATTCAGCATCAACCCAGTGCATATCAACCATCCCCTCAAGTGGTAGCTGGTAAATTAATTTTTTATTTTAATTAAAAAYTACTTACGACTTAAACCTAAAAACAATTTATTCAGATAATGTATACAGGGTGATTCTTTTAAGTGGGTACACTAATTATCTCGAAAAGTATTTACTTTTTTCTA